GATATGCGGAATCCTGAAGTTCGGAATCTCTCAAATTCATGCTGTCATAGAATTTCTTTTAGAAAGAAGTAATTCTTAACCTCCAACAATACCAGCCACCACAGTCTATAGTTAGCATGTCCAAGAAAAGTAAAGAGTAGACGGAGTTTTTGTAATATGCACTTAGAGGTCCTCGGCCATTTAAAGAAATCACCCAAATTCATAAGCCTAGTCAACTCACATTTTTCATATAGCATACACTTAAAATAAAAATATTCTAAATTAAACGTATTTTAGAAAACTCTTTTCCAAGATGTGCAAATTGTGGAGGCTTCATAAATTAAAAATAATTTTTTTCTCTTTTTTTAAATCCTCACAGAAGGCTGTGTTTTATTAATTTTAAATTATTTTTATTTTTTGAGAGAGAAAGATCGATGGGCTGCCCCCATATGCATTCCAACAAGGGATCGAACCCACAACCTAGGTATGTGTCCAGACCTGGAATCAGACCTGCAACCTTTCTGATGTACAGGACAATGCTCCAACCAACTGAGCCTCCAGCTAGGGCAAAAATAAAAATTTTGCCAGAAATACCATCCAGCAGTGATAACTTATACTAAAATATCTCCCGGAAGGGAACATCAGCTTTAAATTCCGCAAATGTGAAACTCATATCCTCACCTGATAAGTATTTCCTGAATTAAATGAAAAGGTGCAATTCTCTTAATTGCTATACAAAGAGGAGGATAAGACACTGTAAATTACTTTTTTAAAAAGAGGGTAGCCTTGCCCAATGTGGCTCCGTTGGTTGAGCGTAGTCCTAGGCACTGAAAGGTCAACAGTCAGATTCCCAGTTAAGACACATGTCCAGGTTTGGGGGTTTGATCCCCATAGGGGGCACCTGCGGAGAGGCAACCGATCAACATTTCTCTCTCACATGATGTTTCTCTCCCTCCCTCCCTCCCTCCCTCCCTCCCTCTCTCTCTCTCTCTCTCTCCATCAATTAAAACATTAGAAAGGGTGTGAGGCCCTGCTGGTTTGGCTCAGTGGATAGAGCATCGGCCTGTGGACTGAAGAGTCTCAGGTTCAATTCCAGTCCAGGACACATGCCTGGGTTGTGGACTCAGTCCCTAGTAGGGGGTGTGCTGGAGGCAGCCAATTGATGATTCTCTCTCATCATTGATGTTTTTGTCTCTCTCTACCTCTCCCTTCCTCTCTGAAGCCAATAAAAATATATTTAAAAAATTAAAATAAATAAAAAGGGGATGGGGGTAATGGAGTATTAGTCAAACATCTAAAACATGGACCACTGAGTGTATTAAAAGGTGAATTTTGGCCCTGGCTGGCATGGCTCCATCGTTAGAGCACTGGACCACGCACTGAAGGGTCTCGGGTTCGATTCCCCATTAAGGTTATGTACCTGGGTTGTAGGTTCAATCCTACAACCCAGGTACATAATCTGGTCTGGGTCGGGGTCTGTTCAGGAGGCAACCAATCAAAGTGTCTCTCTCATATCGATGCTTTTCTCTCTCTCTCCTCTGTCTCTTCTCCTCCCTCCCTTTTTTATACCTTCTCTGAAATGCAATGAGAAAAATATCCTAGGGTAAGGATTAACAAAAATAAATAAATAAATAAATATAATTTAAAGAAATGATTAAGGAGCATCAGAAGCAGATCCTCAAAAAAGGGGGGGGCAATTTTTAGTACTTAAGGAAAAATGCACACTGGCACATATTAATTAGAATAAAATTATTATATGAAAGAAACAAAAAAAGTCTCTTCTATGTAACACTGTTCTTAGAACCCATACTTTGAAATTAACTTGGTTTGCAACGTTTTTTCTTGTAATGGTTGTCATCATATAAATTTTATCCACAGAGGTTTACCATCCCTTAACTTCAATTCCAAAATGCAAAAACCAAGTTTTTCATTATTCATTTGGCAGCAAAACCTAATGTGAAATGACATGAGGCTATTTATAGTATTTATCTACCCCACTTGGTTCGAATATTCTGACATTTTACTACAGAAATAGTAAAGTGTTTGATTACAAGGTGCTGCCCCATACCTCTCTGGATGCTACATAACCACAGGATGTGTACCATATTCCATTTCTAAAATCCAAAAACTTCTAAATTCAGAAACACCTGCAGTCCGAGAAAATAAATTCTTTTAAGCCACAAGGTACTTTGGACTGGTATATTAATTAAAATTAAATATTATATGGAAAATATAACCAATACTGAGAATAAAGGTAGATGTTCACATGCAATAAATTCAGTCTTATAAGTAATTCACTGTACACAATCCTTTAAAATAAAGCACTAAAAAGATTTTTAACAAATGTCAAAACCCTAAAATACCATGTGTTTTTTAAGTAATGGTGACATTTGCATCACCCAATTCCTATATCAACTCCTCTTAGGTTAAAATGCACTACCGTATTTTTCAGACCATAAGACGCACCAGTTTTTAGAGAAGGGAAATGAAGAAAAAAAGATTCTGAAACAAATAGTGTCCTAAAATATTTTATGTGCATTAAAACCCAACATCACAGTCATAAACACATGTAATCAACCCTGTAAAGTAAACAGCAGCATTTAGAACCATTTTAGAGCCGGGCAAGCACACAGAGACCACACAGAGCCGGGCAAGTAAAAAAACTTTTTTTTTTAAATATATGTGTAGGCTATATTTGGACCATAAGACGCAGGGACTTTTCCCCCCCACTTCTGGGGGGGGGAAAGTGCGTCTTATGGTCCGAAAAATACGGTAATTTAAATCATAGTTATAACAGAACCAAGGACTGCAATTGGTTAATTCTTTTTAAATATATATATATATTTTATTGATTTTTTTTTACAGAGAGGAAGGGAGAGGGATAGAGAGCTAGAAACATCAATGAGAGAAACATCTACCAGCTGCCTCCTGCACACCCCTTACCAGGGATGTGCCCGCAACCAATGTACATGCCCTTGACCGGAATCGAACCCGGGACCCCTCAGTCTGCAGACCGATCCTAGTCTATCGGATAGATATCCACTGAGCCAAACTGGTTTCGGCTGGTTAATTCTTTGAGAAAGATAATCATCTACTGATAAGTAACATACACTTGTAATCAAACACTTTTTAAGTAACAAACCCAGTAAAGTGTTCTGATTTTTAAAATTTTTTATCTGTGTTTAAGATCTAAAATCATCTTATTCCAGATTATAATTTCTAAACGTTGAACAAATTACAATTGATTTTTTTCTGTAAAAGCAGAGTTGGACAGGGACAGTTCTTGCATATATTTGAACGGGGTGGGGGGGAAGTTTCACAGTCCTTTCCTTCCTTCCTCCTGCAGTTGCTGCCTTCTGTTTTAGAATTTCAAACAAAGAAATACATATTGGCTCCACTGCTAAGAAACGCCCTCTTTCTCTGCAACTTCCTCCTCCAATTTTCCTCCCTACCATTGACACCCGAGAACAATGCACATTGACAATCCTACCATTTTGATTAACCAAAAGCTCTGAGGTCTGGAAAAATGAAGGGCTGCCATTTATAGTACCCAGCCACCTCCCAAATCTAGGTCCACAATCTGCAATCAGCTAAAACTTTGATAACAGGGACCACAAAGAAAGAAACATGCGTAATCAGAGGAAGGCTATTGAACTATTTTTACTCATAGAATCCAAAGGCCTTTGAACTAACAAATGGGAACTTACTTCCATCCCAAGAGAACTTGGCCTTCACAGGGAGGAGGAAAAATGACCAGGCTGGCACCGCTCTGAGACAAGTGTGAAGCCTACCCACCGGTGGGTAGCTGGTGACCTTCCTTCTACAGGCCATCCCGCCAGGGTCCAAACTGAGCTCTCCCAGGTTCTAACACACTTCCAAGTGGCGTTTACCACTTAGATCATGGACTTTCCCAATCACTCACAGACTGAACAAAGGGGACATCAAGACCCAGCTTATTGATTATCTTCATGCCCGAAGGGTCTGGGTTCAGACCCCTCACCCCGTTTGTGACAAAGCTAACTTCTCTGAGATGGACAGAGATGTCCCTCATCTCTGCACCTTCCTGGGTGATCGTGAGCCAAGTTATTGAACTCCTTCACTTAGTTTTCCTGATGGGTACATTCTCAAGGGTAGCTGTAAACATGGAAGAATATATATGCCTCAAGGTCTGGCACACAGTAGGAGCGCCACGCATGTTCCCTCCTCCTCCTCATCCTGAATTCTTTGGGGCACACATTTCAAGCAGAGCCCCAAGAGGCTCCGAGGTTCCTTCTTCTTCTGATTCTATGGAGAACTAGGCAATATCTCCCATCTCAGAGGCTCTAGGATCCTGGAGGACCGAGATGTCACTCCATCACACTCCGGGGTCCATCCCACGTCTTCGTGGAAAACCCCTGTAGATCGCTATCCTGACTCTGCAGAGCGTCCTGCACACACACACACACACACACACTCACACACATACACACACACTCTCTCTCACACACACACACACTCACACACACATACACACTCACACACACACACACACTCCAACCGCCATTTGGCAACTTAGCAGGCCAGGGGTTTCACAAAGCTCCTCAATTCCTTCGTGGCCCAGAGGTGGAAACTGAGGCTCCCAAGATCTCAGACAACTTCTGGGACCCAGCTCATGTACCTACGACTGCAAAGTCTCCGCTTCAAACACCGGGACACTGAGGCCCGGGGAGGGAAGGGACTTGGCCAAGGTCACACGCGCGTTGGTGGCGGAGCCAGTGCAGGGCAGGGCAGGGCAGGGCACTTCCGAAACCTCCCGGGCTCGGTGCCCCCTAGTCCCACAGGGGATCTATCTCCAGGATCCCTCCGCTCTGGGGAGGAGCGTGGACAGGGAGACGCCGCCCCGCGCACACCGCTCCCCGGCCTCCGCGGGCCCGTGACAGGCGAGGCGCCCACTCCCGCAGGACCCGGCGCCGCTCGGGAGGGGCGGCCCGGCCCGGCCAGGCCCCTCCCGGCGGGGCCGCCCTTTGGGACTTGTTGCTCACCTGGCCTGGCGCAGTCGCCCTCAGCGACAGACGGGCCGGCCGGCCGCCCTTCTCCACCTCGGGTCTGTCCCCGCGGGCCGCCCGGGCGGCTGCCACACGGCCGGACCCCGCTCAGTGCGCTACGCCCCCAGCCGTGCTTCACTGGCCCGCGTCCGCCATTACGGGATTCCCCGCCCTGGGACGCGGCCACACCCCGCCAACGGTCCTGATTGGCTCCCGGCCCCACCCGCCTGGGGCTTCCTGGCCGCTCATTGGCCCGAGCGGAACGCCAGTTACAGAGCCACGCAAAAGACGTACTCCCGAGAGCAGTCCCGGGAGCTCCACCCGAGCTACTTCCGCAATCGGAGTAAACAGCGAGGGGCGAACCAAGTGACGGGGGGGTGGGGGTGACATTAAGTTAACTCCTAAATTCAAAGTAGGAAAATTCCACCTAAGAAAGTGTAAAAACACACAAAAAGTGTATTTAAAGACTAACTGTTGTTCTTAGTGGTGAAAAGAACCAGTATTTTTGGTGGGGCGGAGGGGCCAAGCTCATGAACTTGCTGTGGACACCCCTCAAATTGAGCATAGTTTTGTCTCTTCCCTCCCGGTCTCAGGTGGGGCAGAAAGTTGGGTGGAGAGAGTGAGTCACTGGCTCGGATCTCCACTACAGGATCCAATGGGGGGGGAAAGGCCCTGGGTCCTGGGACTGGGAGATGGTTCTGAAAGGCCGGGATCAGATGACCTGGACTCTAGTCCAGACCTCACCTAACTCTGAGACTTCAGACTACTTCCTGAATTTATCTGGGTCTCAGTTTGCCCTGAGAAATAGGAGCAACCCCGTGAGTGGGTATATGTGAACCTTGTTGATTATACAAGGCTTCAGCTGGATATCCATGTGTGACATTCGCAAGTTAGCAAAGATACCTCGTAGCACAACTCTGTAAGGCAGATAGTGTTCTTGTTTTGGAGAAGAGAAACTTTATGACTTATCCTGGGTCACCCAGGGAATTTGAATCAACCCTGGGACTCAAACCTTTATATATTTGAGTATAAAGGTTTGCTCTCCTTTATGTCTCCCTTGCAGGCCTGGTGTCCCCTGAGAAAGACTTCCCTCTCCCAAACCCTTAGCATTCCAGGGAGGGTCTTGAGGGTGCTGGGCCAGTTTCCCCTCTCTCTGGTCACCCAAGACTGGCACAAAGCCCCTTCCCCCAACCCCAAAGCTATTATCAATCACTGAGGTTTCAGGGGAAAAGGGATCCTCCTCTGGGTGTGCCTGGGCTGTTTCTGGTATCCTAAGAATCAGGAAGTGAGTAAGGGATGACAGGTTGGTCAGCAACCCAGACAGAATCTCAAAGGAGGTCACAAGCTCTGAGAGAGGCAGTGACGCCACTGTGGGCCCTCAGTGGGGCAGTATCCATGCCAGGACTTAAATCAGGGTCTCTGCACTCAGCATGGTTACTTCCAGAAAGGCTGCCTTGGCTGTAATTTCTAATTGTTTTCCCTCTCTGTAAAAAAGGAAGTCAAGAAGGAAGTGGGAAGGGGAAGCTATCTAAGACTTTAGAAGGACAGAGACCACCAAATGGGGTGGTGTCCACATGGCCCCAGTGCTGGCTGAGTCATGACCTCCAGGCACTAAATGGGACTTGTGGTCTGACAATAAATTACTATTTAAATCCTGTCTGTGGCCATTGGGTGCTGGGAGACAGCAGGTGCTGTGCAGAGATTCAGTGGAGTCAGACTGACCTTCCATTCAATCCAAGCTCAACCACTTTCTAGATCCCTGAGCTTCACCTACATCTACTCTAACGTGGGTAGTTGTGAGGACTCAGTGAATAATTGTGCAATTAATGAGGCATGTGTGTAAAGTGCCTAGTAGCTATTTGTTCATTCATAAATTCATCTGTTGAATAAAAAAATTATAAAACACTGATCATGTAGGGCAGCCTGCTGGTGATGCAGCTCCAATGGCAAACAAAACAGACTCAGACCCTCATAGAGCTTAGAGTTTGGTGAGGAAGTCAGTGGTTAAACAAATGATCAAAATACAATTAGAATCTGTGATAAGGAACAAGAAGGCAAAGTGCAATGTGTTTATAAGAGCAAATGTCAAGGGATGGGGCGGGGTTAGAGGAAGCTTCCTGAAGAGGCGATGTCTAGATGAGTAGGGCTCAGCTAGGCAGCAGGTAGTTGAGAGAAGTGTTGTGGGCCGAGAGAGAGGGTATGGAAGACATCAAGGCCAATAGAGACAGTGGCAATGGGAAGGGAACCTAGCTTTGAAAGTGGGGCTATTCTCCGAGGGTATCTGTATTTTTCTGGTAGTTCCTGAAAGAATGCAGGCTCTGAGGCCAGCCCATCTGGATTTTAATCTTGTCTCTGCAATCTTATTTTACTGTGTGACCTTGAGCAGTCACTACACCTCTCAGTGCCTCAGCTATGCTTCTGAAAAATTGGGATAATAATAGGGAGTCATAAGATGGAGAGGAAGATTCAGAGCAATCTGGCACATGAGGGCACTCCTTAAAATGGTGCTTGGTTTTCCCAGCATAAAGGGAGGTGAACCTGAGGCAACAGATCCAGCCGATAGGTGCATTTGGGAGAAAGCTGACATAAGAGTCTATACTTGGGCAAGTTGTCACCTGACCCTAATTGTCATAGAAGACTTTGGAGCCATACAAACTTGGGGTCAGCCCTGGCCAGTGTGGCTCAGTTGGTTAAAGCAATCTCCCAGCTGAAACCGGTTTGGCTCTGTGGTAGAGCGTCAGTCTGCGGACTGAGGGGTTCCAGGTTCCATTCCAGTCAAGAGCATGTGCATTGGTTGCTGGCACATCCCCAGTGGGGCGTGTGCAGGAGACAGCTGGTCGATGTTTCTCTCTCATCAATGTTTCTAGCTCTCTATCTCTCTCCCTTCCACTCTGTAAAAAATCAAAAAAAAAAAAAAAAAATATATATATATATATATATATATATATATATATATATATATATATATATATATATATATAAATTTAAAGCAATCTCCCATATACCTAAATGTTGCAGGTTCAATTTCCAGTAAGGGCACATACCTAGCTTGTGGGTTTAATCCCCTGTTGTAGCACAAACGGAAGTCAACCAATTGTTGTTCTCTCTTACATTGATGTTTTTCTTCCCCACCTTCTCTAAAATCAACACACATATCCTTGGATGAGGATTGAAAAAAACAAAACAAAAACCTGGGTTCAAATCACAGTTAATACCACTTCACCTATCTGAGCCTCAGTTTCCTTATCCATAAAATGGAGATAATAATTGTTTCTATTTCCCAGAGCTGTGAGGATTAAACCCTATATAATAAAAGGCTAATATAGAAATCGTCTGAATGGCAGAACAACCAGTTGCTATGATGCACACTGACCACCAGGGGACAGACACTCAATGCAGGAGCTGCCCCCTGGTGGTCAGTGCACTCCCACAGGGGGAGGCTGCTCAGCCAGACGCGGGCTCATGGCTGGCGAGCACAGCGCTGGTGGCAGAAGCCTCTCCTGCCTCTGCAGCAGCTCAGGGAGTGGGTCTAAGCCGTCGGTCGGACATCCCCCAGGGGGTCCTGGGCTGTGAGAGGGCATAGGCCGGGCTGAGGGGATGCCCCCCCCATTCACGAATTTTGTGCACGAGGCTTCTACTAAGATAATAAACATGAAGCACTTAGCACAGTGATTGGCACATAGTAAGCGGTTGTTGAATGTTAAATTTTTTAAAAATATTTAAATATATATATTTTATTTTTTTATTGATTTTAGGGAGGAAGAAAAAGAGAGAGAGAAACATCAATTATGAAAGAGAATAATTGATTGGCTGCCTCCTGCAGGCCTCACACTGGAGATTGAGCCCACAACCTGGGCATATGCCCTGACCGGAATCAAACTGACCTCCCAGTTCATAGATCACTGCTCAATCACTGAGCCACACCAGCTGGGCTGAATGTTAATTCCTAATAATAATAATAATTATTATTATTATTATTGAGATCAGCTGTTACTACCTATACTAGATAAGATTCTGGAGATTTGCTTGAAGATAGGAGCCTTAGTTTCTGCTTTTAGACAGTAAAGATAGACAAGTTGCTTTCGGAGGGGGTAATGCTGTCATTTTAATGGTGGTAATAATAAGCACTGACAGTGACTATTTACTATGTGCCCTCTATGTGCTAAGAGCTACATATGTGTTAGCCATGCCCTGGCCGGTGTGGGTCAGTTGGTTGAGCATCATCCCATGCACCTAGAGGTCATCTGTTTGGTTACTAGACCGGGTCGCAGGCTCAATCCCTGGTAGCCAATTGATGTCTCTCTCTCCCTTCCTCTTTAAATTCAATTTTTAAAAAACTAAACATTTTAAAATAAATAAATAAATCTGTATGGCCAGTCCTGCAAGTTAGATCCTATTACTATCATCATTCTACAAATGAGATAAAGGAAACACAGAGAGGTTAAGTGACTTGCCAAAAGCTCCCCAGCCAGGAAGCAGCACAGCTGGAATTTAAATCAAACCTTGCTTCTTTTTTTGGGGGGGTGGGGGGTGGGGGGGGTGCTGTTCTTGAGGGCAAGCCCTGGCTCTTCTACTCAAAGAGAGTTATCACCCAGAGTTAGAGAGATAAATTATTCACTGCCCCCTCACTGGTATGGCTCAGTGGAGAGTGTGTAAGCTTAGATTTTATTCCAGTCAAGGGCACATACCTCTCAATTCCCAGCCCTGATCTGGGCACATGCGAGAGGCAACCAATCGATGGGTCTCTCTCATTGATGTTTTTTTCTCTGTGACTCCCTCCCTTCCACTCTCTCTAAAAATCAATGGGAAAATATCCTCAGATGAGGATTTACAAACAAAATTATTCACTGTCAGTAGCAAGTCCCCAGGTTCCCAAAGCCAATCCTCATTCCTTTCACATCAATTCTAAAAAGTAACCCAGGTCTGCTCCCTGTCCCCTGAGGCTGATAAGAGCAGGAAACAGACCCTCTTCCTCTGCCAGGCGTATAAACGATATTTAGAGTCCCCAGAACTGGGTCTGAGTCCCAACTGTGCCACTTACTGGGTCTGTGGTCTTGACCAAGTCACACCCCCTCTCTGAGCCTCAGTTTTCTCATCTATGAAATAGGGACATTAACAGCCCTGCCTGTGGGGCTGCTGTGGGGAGCAGAAAAAAAATAAGGCCGC